TACCACGAGCTTGAGAATTCTCTCTGTGCTACCTGCGGCAAAGGAATCGAAGGCCTGTATATGGAAACCGCCAACGTCGCGGGGCGCGGCAAAGAGAAACATCATCCGGATTGCCTAAAGTGCACAACTTGCAAGATCCGACTGGACCACGACTACTTTGAACTGTCTGGGAAGGTCTACTGCGAACGAGATGCGTTTCGGCTTGCAACCTTACCAAGATCCCATGACAATGCTCCCAGCCGCCCGAGCCCACTGATTCGAGAGTACATCTCCAGTGGAGACCCTGGACTCGTAAAGGGCAGGAATTTCCCAGAGCGAAGAACGACCAGATTAATGACGATGACCTAATTTCACGACAACGACAGACGCAATGCTTGACGCCGGATTTCGATCGTTTGGCAAAGCACAGGAGTCTTTTTGGAGAGGGCACTGGATGAGGAGTGGACACTAGCAACTTCAAGTTTACGCGGCCGGCAACAGTTCCAGTTCGTGGCAGAGCATGGTATGATCCGCTGCAATCCTTTCTTCCTGCTAACATCAAGTATATATACACGAGACTTATGCCGGACATATGGAGCGTCCATTTCAAGCGGAAGCATGGTGTTCCGGTGTGCGATCAGAAGAATATATTAGCTATATATCGATAATGTTTATGCCGCTGCACATCCAAGGCCAAACTTTTCCTGCTGTGACGCCTGATCGGAACGCTTTCCTTCGAGTGAGCTTTGCTTGTCTTTTCAACCACGATTGTTTGTGTGACGTCGCGTTGCTGGCTCTATGCACTGAGGACATACCAGCAAGCGAGGCCAAGGTAAGATCGGGAGCTACTTGACTTGTCTTTTAATTACCAGGGATGGTTGACATGTTCCATTCGACTCCTTTCTCGCTGGAGGGCACGAAACTCGAACGAGGCCGTTGGAGCGTCTACTCCGGCACTTCGGTAAGCATGGATACCCCCACGACGCACACGCGCATGCCATCGGGTGTCTTAGCGTATCATGTGCTTTGCTGGGATGTCAATGTCACTCGGCAGGGTATTTAGTGTCAGATCTGGCAAGCAGGCAAACAACCGAGACAGGAAAAAGATTATCCCACGATTCGGAAAGGGAACAGAAATCCCAAAGCTTGCTTTGACGACCACAAAGAAGCAACCCCCGGTTTGTGTGACACGGAGACTTCTTCCCCAGGGCAGAAGAAGATAGATGACTGACTTGGGCGGCCCGAAGCAAGACCTAAACCGCACTTTTAGCGGCACGAACAGAAACGCCGCCAGGGAGTGGATTGGAGGCATCAAGGTTTGAAACTGGGCCAAGGAGCACGTCGTGTGACCGCAACGACAATCGACAGCACAGCCGAGGGGAGATTGGAGACAAAAGCTGACGAGCAAGATTGAAGCCTGTGGATGCAGCCGGATATCAAGACTGGATTCGGAGAGATGCGGGAGGTTGAGAAAGGTGAGATTCTGGGCTGTGCCGAATTGATTGGAGGTACGAGGGATCTCCAAGAGATGGTTCCGGACCACAGCGGTAACAAGTGGTGCAAGTCTCATGCGGTCCAAATGCACATGCATCTCAGCATTTGGGATTGATGCGTCTATGGAGCCAGCAACAAGACACGAAAAGCGAAAAGCGAAAAGAAAGACGATGGGTCGGGCCTGGCGTGGGACCGAGACTGAACATCACTCGATCAATCCCACGCGCCTGTACCACAGTTTCCACCTCTTGGAATGATAAGGACAGAATCCACGAACAAACCCTCTTATCGACAGAGTACAGCTCAGCACATCCCCCCTATTATTATGGAGCCCTTGGTGCCCGAACGGCAGTCGGAACGCATTCACGACTTCAGAACAGAGAGTCAGTATCGAAGCGGTCAAAGCAACAAGAGACTAAACGGGGACCCAGACACGCCAGTCTAATTAGCGAGGCCAGGAAGACGCAATTCCCATTAGTCACACTCTCCACCGCACACCGAGTGACAATTGCTTGTGGGATACAAGAAGCCGTCCGTCTTCCCTTTCTTCCATCCCTCTCGACACCACACAATATACAATTGACGCCCTACAAAGCTGTCTGGAACGCGAGTCTGATCACCGCCCGGCTGTGATCTATTCTCATTCCTCTTCTACACACAAGGATCACCACCGAGTGATCCGCCCAACCGCCAAGACGTTTTCGAATTTGTTGCCCTCGTAAGTACCGACCATGCTGCCTCTACCCTGTCCAGTTTTGCAGTGCTGGTACCTGCATCCAACCCCTGTCCATGCATTTCTTCTCGCATCTTCAATCTGGCGGTACCTGGCGTCAATCTCGTGTCAGGTCTATCGTACCTTTGGCCATGCAGTTGACCGCGGGTGGTACCTTGATGTATCCCCTCTACCACCGCAATCGTCCTTGGACGTCGACGTTGGATGCCGCTCGTTCTATTGACAATTTGGTCTTGTCTTCATATTCTTTCCTCTTCGGACCGCTCTTGCAAAATGCTCGCTCACTCACAAACCACTTTTAAGCTCTCATCACCCGTTCAACGGTAGCCGACGCTCTTCCCCTCCTGGAGGAGCATCGGATATAATACAGACCCGATAAATTCGCCATTTATCAGAGAAACCGCTGCCACTTTAAACTATTCGTCAAGCTCATTCAGTCACTCCTCTCGAGCTCAATATGGCACCACACGCGGAAATCGGCGTCGGCACCATGAACGGGTATAGCAACAATCACGCCTCGGACTCGGCTCAATCGCACAAGGATCTTTTCACGGTCGACTCTCCCAACGTTACGTATACTGACGAACACATCAAGAGCAAGTATGTCTACCGCACCACAGCAGTCACCAAGTCTGCCGATGGGAAATACACGGCGACGCCCAAGGAAACCGTCTATGACTTCAAAGTCGACCGTAAAGTGCCCAAGGTCGGTGTGATGCTGGTGGGATGGGGCGGCAACAATGGCTCCACTGTCACTGCCGGCATCATCGCCAACCGTCGTGGACTTGTCTGGGACACTCGTGAAGGGAGTCGTGCTGCCAACTACTACGGCTCCATCATCATGGGCTCAACCATCAAACTCGGGGCTGACGCCAAAACCAACGAAGAGATCAACATTCCTTTCCATGACGTCTTGCCCATGGTTCACCCTAACGACCTTGTGGTTGGTGGCTGGGATATCAGCAGCCTGAACCTGGCCGCCGCAATGGACCGTGCTCAGGTCCTTGAACCAACCCTCAAGGCCATGGTGTACAAGGAGATGGCTCTCATGAAGCCGCTGCCCAGTATCTACTACCCAGACTTCATTGCTGCCAACCAGGAAGATCGTGCGGACAACATCCTGCCGGGAAACAAGGCCAGCATGGCCCATGTTGATCAGATCAGGGCAGACATTAGGTGCGACAGCCTCCTCGTCACCCAAGATATTGAGAGATGCTAAACTTTGTACAGGGACTTCAAGGCTCAGAACAACCTTGACAAGGTCATTGTTCTCTGGACTGCCAACACTGAGCGCTACGCCGACATCATTGCCGGCGTCAACGACACCGCCGAGAACTTGCTGAAAGCGATCGAGCAAGGCCATGAGGAAGTGTCGCCCTCGACAGTCTTCTCCGTGGCTTGCATCCTTGAAAAGACGCCCTTCATCAACGGCTCCCCTCAGAACACCTTTGTTCCCGGTGCCATCCAGCTCGCTGAGAAGCACGACTCGTACATTGGAGGTGATGACTTCAAGTCGGGTCAGACCAAGATGAAGTCGGCATTGGTCGATTTCTTGATCAACGCTGGTATCAAACTGACGTCGATTGCAAGCTACAACCATCTGGGCAACAACGACGGCAAGAACTTGAGCTCTCAGAAACAGTTCCGTTCCAAAGAGATTTCCAAGTCCAATGTCGTCGACGACATGGTGGCTGCCAACAGTGTCTTGTACAAGAAAGATGAGCACCCAGACCACACCGTTGTTATCAAGTACATGCCCGCTGTCGGAGACAACAAGCGAGCCTTGGACGAGTACTATGCCGAGATCTTCATGGGTGGCCACCAGACCATCAGCATCTTCAATGTCTGCGAGGATTCCCTGTTGGCCTCGCCCTTGATCATCGACCTTGTCCTCGTCGCTGAGATGATGACCCGCATCCAATGGAAGACTGAAGTTGCTGCGGAATACAAGGGCTTCCACAGCGTCCTGAGCATTCTCAGCTACATGTTGAAGGTAAGAGCGCACAACTCTTGTTAGAATCTCACTGACATGACTCTCCCAGGCACCTCTCACGCCCCCTGGAACGCCCGTCGTCAACGCCTTGGCCAAACAGCGCAGCGCCCTGACCAACATCTTCCGGGCCTGTGTCGGTCTGCAACCCGAGTCCGACATGACGCTGGAGCACAAGCTGTTCTGAGGCCGCTTGGCTCAGGCAGCGCACTCTCTCCGACCCTAATGTGCAGGTAATGGCAAAGAAATTAGCAGGGCTTACGAAGCCGCTCGGCCGCTCTCGGCATACGATGCGATGGGGGTGGCTAGACTGCTTTTTTTCCCTTTGCATTGCGAAATGGCGAAATACCAAAAGGGTCGGGCTCTCTCTGTCTTTCTCTTTTGGGGTCACCTAGACTGCACAGATTTGTTTTTGGTTCCCGAGTACACTGTTGTTGTACTTGTACTGTCGTTTCCGCTTTTCCTCCTACCCTCCTTCGACTAGAACTCGACTCGACTCGACTCGACTCGGAGGTGTCCAACTCACTTGTCGCTCCTTTAGTTGATCCAGCTGCATAGTATAGCCTTTGCAACACAAGACATATTACTCCCCCCCCCCAACTTCTTCTTCTATTCTCAATCGGCAAGGTTCAGGGCACCGGGCTTCTGTGGGTAGCGTACCACGTAACGTAACGTAGTCGACTGTATCCGTAAATCCCACTCCCACATACATAACGTGGTGGATAGTAGGAGCGATACTATGTATATACATAGAGGGTTCATTCGTGCATAGGTAGGGTATATAGCGTTATAGGGCATACGTTCTCAGGAGAAACCGCCGCGCGCGAGAGCGTACAAAGTGCCCACGCCAGCCTTGACCCCATCGACGATATAGACCTCCCTGCCCCTTTCGTCGCCGAGGGCTTCGACGCAGGCCGTGCGCACCGCCGAGTCCAGACCGACCATTCCCGCGCAGCCGAGACAGATAGCCTGGACGCGCGAGACGAGGTGGTTCTTGTTGTTGTTGTTGCTGTCGGTCTCGCCATCGCCATCGGTATTGGCCCCGCGCAGGAGAAGCCGCTTGGTCGCGTCCATCATCTTCCTGCGGACTTCGTGGGCAGGGAGGTCGTGGAGCTCGCTCGCGTTGAGACCCGTGGTTTCGCACCCGACAAAGGGCGACGTCGTTTTCGTGGTCGGACAGCCGAGAAACTCCTCGACGGCGATCTGCAGGGCCTCCTCCCAAATCTTTCCGGTCGAGACGATCCCAAACGCCGGTCTCTCCCTAGCAGCAGTGGCGGCAGCGTTCGCAGAAGTCTGGTCAGGTGGGGAGTCGCGCAACAAGGCCAGACTCGCCAACACGCTCGCCTCAAAGATGCCCGTGACGTATTTCCTCGCCCCGGACCCTTGGGGCCCTTGAGTCGCCGCGGCCGCGACGGCCGCACACTCGGCCTTGAGGCGCGCGACGAGCGGGTGCTGGCTGTAGCACGCGACGAGGAAGCAGTCGTGGTGGGGCACGAGGGGGAGTAGATGCGGGAGGCAGATGTCGGCCGACCGCGCCGCGTCGGCGGGCGAGTTGATGCTCGGGATGCCCGGCGTGGGCGACGTGAAGAACGTGTATTGCGCGCCTGGAATCCCCAGGTCCTGCACGACGGGTTTCAGCGCGTCGGTCATGGGTTGGGACGTGTTGGGGTTGATGATCAGGATGCGCACAGGGGGCGGCGGTGTCGACGTTGACGATGCTGCTGCTTCGTCTATTTCCGTCATCGTGTTATGGAGTTGGTGTGTGTGTGTGTGTGTGTGTGTGTGTGTGTGTGTGTGTGTGTGTGTTTTGTTCCTTTCTTTTTATCACCCTCTCGCTTCACCCTGTCTCTGTCTGTAAGTGTGTGTTGGAGTTTATGAATCAGGAAAAAGTCGCAAGTCGGGCAGGTGGCAGTTTCGATTCTTTTACAGACTTGTTCCAAGATTTAATGCGGGGAGAGGGGGATGTCTCCTTATCTTATTGCCCGATAAGAGATAAGGCGGGAAGGCGAGAAGGATATCTGGACCCTCGACGCCTTGACGCCTCAGACATGTATATACATACTGAGTACTCGGTATATAGATACTTGACATATCCTCATTTGATACTGTGCGATGGGCGTCTATCAGAATCCTATAGGCTGGGGGGCCTTCCCTTTCATTCTGGCTGAATCAATGCCAAGTGTCCGTGTTCCACCATCTTTTTCATGACTTCCTCGCCGAAGCATGAATATATTGTGAATCCTGTCAAGTAAACCATCATCGTCCGGTCGAAGCCGTCACGAAGATCACCAGCCTATGCTTCCCTCCTCGACAGATATCTCTGAGATTCTGCTGTCTCCCTTCGTCAGAAACAGTGACCTCCTGGGGACGTCCCAGGTGGGTGACACTTCATCTCAGCTCAGTCATCTCCGAGTTCATTGTCCTGACAGACAGGAGCCTAAGTTGACGAATATCGGACGGCTTTCGAAAGTCCACCTTTCGTCAGGGTGGAGTCTGTGACAGAACGACCGAGTACTCGTCTTTTCAAGGAGTCTACCGAAGATTTCTCTGCGCAGCATTGCTTGTATATTGATGCATTCCGCAAGATGAGACTTGTCTCCAGTTGAGTCCAAGAGGTGACTTGGCCAGAGCCAGCCAATACTCCAACATTCTCGAAATATTGAGAGCTGTCTGTGTATTGTTCAACACACGAATCGTCGTTCTCGACCTTCACACAAGTTTGGTCTCGGCTGCGTCGTCGAATTGGTCGGGCGCTTTATCATCGATATTTGGGGCGGCTCTTGTAGGTGTCTTGAATAGTCGCTGCCCGCCCGTGATGAGATCTCGAAGGGTGGCGTAAACGACCAGTATCCAAAGCAGGAATACGCAAACCGAGGTTATCTGTGGTTGCAACGATCAGCCAGGTGACGCGAAAAAAGCATGAGAGCATTACAGATCCAATGACGCGGAAAAACTTGGAGGGTATCTCTTTTGCGAGTGTATTGCTCGAGAGTGCAAAGGTGCCGATCGGAAAGGTGAACCTGTCCACTGTGAGTCGCCAAACTGCTTGACTGAGCCTGTCCTCGGGACGAAACCTACCCCCACCAGCCCATATTGAACGGGAAGTGCTTGCAATGGTATATTGTTGCAACGGCAAGAAAAAGCCACAGCAAGGTGAACCCCCACAGGACCAGAGATAGAAGCACTCCCAAATTGTACGCCAGATCTCCGGCCAGAGGGTGGATGGTCTTGGTCGAAGCGAACACTCTCATCGCGACGCTTCCGAGCTTCATGATTGCAAACGCACCCATGTTCAAAGGACCCAAGGGGATGAAACAAGAAACAATGACCTCGCGCGGCGGGAGTTTGTGGATGGTCAGACGCTGCCAATAGATGACGAGGATAAATATTGCAGAAGGAACGCCTACGCCCCAAAGGACATAGCCGATGATGACGGTGGCCAAAGCTTGCTCGTCGTTGGGCAAGACATTTGCAACCAATGCCGCGGTGGCGGATGCGACAACAGTCCCGATGACAGGGAACATCTGCAGTGCGGTGAACGTCGACAGGGGAGTCTCTTCCTGTCGTTTGATCACAAGCAGGAAGGGGAGGAACAAGGCACACAGCAGTGAGATGGCTGCATCGGCCATCCATAGCCTGAGCTGGTCAGAGAAAGGCACTGTGCAAAACTGAGAGGCAGCACTCACCCCCATGAAAGGTAAATGACCCATCTGCCCCACGAAGGAGCGCACACAAACACCATCATGTTGACGATAGTCCCGAGACTCTGTTTGGCCGTGTCAGCGCAGTCTCCAGAAAGGCAGCCGGGGACACCCACCACTGGTATACTACTCAGGAAGAATGCCTGATTGGGTCGCTCGACTATAGTGATCCAGACCCTGGGAAACAGAACGAGCTGGAGAACGGACACGAAGATGAAGAAGGCGAAGAGACCAATGTTCAGGCAGAACACAATGACCGAGAGCCAATACAACCATCTTGCGTTGTATGGGAATTGATTGAGGAGGCTCGCCACGACCTTGTGGTGTCCTGAAATCAGCCGTTGTGTCAAAAGCAGATGAGACGAGTTCCTCGCCGGCTTCTGGATTGAAGGACAGGACCAGGAATTTGCATCAACTTGGCGAGTGGAAAGGCACTTACACCAGTGCCCATGGTCACCGTGAACCAGCTGCGTAAGCGCCGTCAACACGCAGCCTCGACATTTGAAGAGAGTTTGACGTACGACGGCGTGAAGTACTTGACATATTTCCTCCATCCCAGCTCACCCTTTTTCCGAAGCTCCAGAGCCATCTGTTTGCCATCCTGCGTCGATAAACGAGAAGCTGGTGGAAGAGAGGTAACTTCAGGGCCGTCCCCCAGAGCCGGGTTCCAACATGCGATGTCGCCATCTTCGGCGGTCCCTCCACTCAGGGTCTTTTGTAGGGAAACGGCAGCATTAGTGACAAGTCTGGTCAGCGTCCTGGGGCGAGTCGGTCGAGACGGAGCTTCAGGCATTGCCCTTTTTGTGGAGGAAAGGAGCGGACCTGGGAGTAAATGTGTGTCACGGAATGCTGCTTGTGACGTGGAGGGACAGGGGCGGCGGAGATATTTGCTAAAGATTGATATGCTTTCTCCGCGGTACGTGAGAGCTGCAACGACCCCTAAAGGACAGGCACAGATCACCTCGTTCACCCCGAATGTCCTTTATTGTGCCACTGCTATAGCCTTGTAGACATCGCTCCGTCAATGGAATGTGGTGAGATTGCGGATGGGTAGATGGAAGTGATGGAGAGGAGAGAGTCAGAGAAGGCCACATGGAAAACAGCAGCGAGGTTGAAGTTATTATTATTTTTGAATCTGGACCAAAGCGGGATCATGCGGCACGTTGTAGCGAACCGGGATTAGCGAGCTTGTGCCCAGCAAGGTTCTTCAGGTGTCCTAATATTTATTGACTGGTCGAAATCTGGAAGGAGACGAATACCCGATCCAGCTTGAGGCTGGAGAGGGGGAGATGAGAAACGCAGGGTTGGATGGTGAATGGGGAAGTGTGAATGGTGGATGGTGGGAGGGAGGCTGATGCGCAGTTGGTGAAAAGTGTGGCTGCGTCTCCATGGCGCATGCAGCTTACGAAATCGATACGAGACACAGATTCTGCATTATCCCTACTCCACTCGACACCCTTGACACTCTCATCCTCAAATATGAATCGCAAGGTAGCAAGGGACTAACTAGGAGAAGCCATATTGACATTGAGAGAAAGAAAACCCTCCAAAAGTGGCGGCTCTATCCGCCAAATTTCCCTCCAACCTGCGTCGAATTGTAAAGACGATAGATATCAGGCTGCTCCTCGATGCACTCCTCTGCTCTGATTCCTCTCCCGTGTTGATCCTCGTGTTCTCAACCGCTGATCCCTCTTCCGTCCACCAAGATGTCTTGACCGGAAAGCGCTGAAAAATGATCCAAGCCCAAACGGAAAAGTACTGACGCCTGCAAACGCTAGACCCAGCGCGGAGATCTCGTCTCTTTGCATGACCACGTCGGAACGCCATCTAACGAACCGCATAGCTCTTCGGCGGTCCGCTGATATCTGGTTCAAGCACCGAGGTGTGCGGTTCTGGTTGGTTTTTTGGGGTCGGCTCCTGCCAATAGGTGTTTTGGGGTTGCTCGTGCTGTTGCAGATACCGAAATCTACAACTGCGACAGAAGGGTTCAAGGGACGAACAGTCGACCTCTGCCGCGGGTCGATCCACGTTCGAACGAATTGCTGTAGCCGCGGTTCAAGTTCGACCCCCGACCTCCTCCACGGCCGTAGTTTCGATGAGTCCCCCGACCACTGCTGAACTGGTGCGGGACATGGTTGCTCGTGTTGACGAGCGGTGTACTGCCTCGCGCGAAGCTGCCGCGGTCAAAAGAATCGGGGTCGATCTCTTCCACAGGAATCTGAGGCTTGTTCTGCACCGCCTGCGCAGGTGTGCTAAAGGAGGTTCGGGGGGACCGTGTATTTCCTCCTCGGCTGCGGACGCTTCCTGCGGCAGCGCCTCGCGACGATTGAGCTCCGCGGGTCGAGCCTCGACCTCTTGGTTTAAAGACGACCTCTTCCTCGTCACTCTCAACGTCATCATAGCTGAAAAGGGTCTTCAGCTCGGAGTTGGACACTCGTTTCGCCTTGTCCTTCTCGGAATTGTCTGGCACGGGTGATTCTTTCTCTCCCAAACCAAGCGCACTCCTCAATTGGTGGATATTCTTAGTCGGTATACCAAAATCCCGGGCAAGGTGCATAGTATCAGCCGAGTTGGTCAGGAAGATAAGGCCTTCATCGGCAGGGGCCTTCTTCTCGTGTACATACCAGACGACAGGGTTCAGAAGGGATTTGAGCGATGGTGGGACGGGTGTTTGATCGTGGCTGATGATGGTGGCAGACTTGACCTCAGGACTGGTCTTAGAGCTCTGCGGTCCAGAAGAAGAGGGGGACAACGGCGGTGTAGAGCCGGGCGACATGTTTGCAGGTTCTTTGGCAAAGTTGAGTTTGTCCAAGAGGACCTGCGACAACGGGCCTGCGACCCCCGCGCTGACTTTGAAGGGCATTTCCGAGTCCTTCTCCTGTTTGTTGTCCATGATTGGGATCGAGTCCTCTCCTTCATGCATCCCAGCAGTCTTCATGCTTTCATTCGTGTAGTGTGCCTCCACCTCAGCCCATGTAGGGTATTGGTCGTCGGGACCTTGGAGGATGACAGGGTCATGCGGTAAATCGCCGCGAGACGAAGTGCTGCGGTCGAGAAACTTGACTGCTTTGCGCGCACTGATGCCAATCTGTGAAGAATCCTTCTTCAGAACATTCAGGCGAGAAAGCGCTGAAGCCGATTAGCGGGACACAAAGAATTTGCGACACACGGGCAGCCATACTGTACAAGGGCACAACAAGAATGATGAGGCCCTGCGAAACCCAGCTCTCAATCTCCTCGAGACTTCTGGTCAAGGCCGTGTCGTCGACGAGACAACGGATGACATTGTTTTTTGACATTTTCATGGTTTGCCGCTTGTGAATCTGTATTGGATCGGGGTGACGATGTGTGGGCTATAGGGCGAAAAATTGACGATTCATCGGCGCAAACTTTGGAAGGTGCGGTAGCCAGGCGCTACAACTGTATACTTCCAGTCATCGGTCAGCGAGGTGAAATTCCACGAAGAGATTATGGCAGGGAGTTCAGGGCATGGCAGTCGAGGCTCAGGCAATACCGGGTATGTTTGTGGTGGAGAGCAAGCAGTAAGGATAGGTGCGCATCTTCGCTAGGAATAGTTTGACGCCGTGATGCGGCCACCAGTCGGTTTCATGTGAGGATGCATCGACAGGACAGGCTTGCGAAGTGAAGAAGAGTCCAACTTCGCGTGAAGAGTAAGAAGATGAAGTAGTTGTTGTTGTGCGGTGGGTGGTAGTGGAGTGGGAATCAAGAGGATCGGAGGTTGGACTTGCGCGGGAAGCGGGACGCAGTCAAGCAACAAGCACCCGATCAAAACTGCGGGTGAGCGAATCAGCCCTGGATTCTGACCATCTCCGCTCTCCTGTCCCCCAACGGCGCAGCTTGAACTTGAATTTAGCCCCGAGCACACACCACAGGGTCCTCAGATTCTCCGTCTCGGAAAAGAGTCTACTAGGTCCTCGCTCTATGGAAACGCCTCTAAAATACCGTCAGACAACTTACGGTGTCATTCTTGAGGACCTCAAACAGCATCCCCGGAAACCCAAACAACTCCGTGTTGCTCATCACCCCTCTAACGTCCGCTGTACTGTGGCTGTCCGTCTTTTCTCGAGTCGGGCTTTCCTCGAGGTCACCCAGCAGCTCTATTGAGCTCTCTGGACTCTCTCCCCAACCCCTATTGAGAACCATGCCTCGCTGCATTTGTTTCTCCTCGTCCTCGTCCTTGTAAGTGTCATGCCACACCTCTTTCAACGCTTGAGATATCTCGGAGAATGTCATTTCTGATGTTAAGATCGGACCTCGGCCTTCTCCACGAGTCCGTATTACCCACCGACTTCTTCGATGACGATTGAAGGCGAACGAACCCGGTATATTGCCGTGTAAGAAGATCTTGGTGGCGACCAGTTGCGCGCTGGAAGAGGCAGGACTCTCACTGGGTGCTGAATCGGGAAAAGGTATTGATCTTGTGGCTGGGGATGATATCAGGATGTCAAATCCATGTTTAAAGTAGTTGTAGAAACACTCATCACCCGACGAACCCACCCTATCTTCCTCCAAGTCGGGTTCGAAATCGGATTCTTCGGTATAGCTTTGAACTGAAGACTGGTCGGTGTCCAATGCCTGAGGGTCGAGTCCTGGGGACATGCTAGGCCGCCGCCGGTTCGCAGGGTTGCCGGCGGCATGGATGGAGATTCGCCTGTCATTTTTACGATATATGGCATCAGGCGGCCCCAGCTCTGCCACGAGATCTTGTGGCGTTGTTTCACTCAATGCAATCACCATGGGGGGAGAGCCCCTCCGGAGTAATTCCAGTCTACCACCCCCGAACACTCTTACCTCTTCAATCTCGTCTGGGACCGTCTCAACGGACTTGCCAATCAGCGTTGGCGAACGAGGATATGTTGGAGGCCTCGTGTACAAGTTTGATCTTGCTTCTGTCCACGAGGACCCTGAGAAGACGGCCATGGACTTTGCCGGTCCAGTTGCATTGGACGACAAAATCGACACAAAATCAACCTTTTCAGACCAGGATTTGTGTTTCACGGGAAATGTGAATGCCAGTCCTGGATAGGAGAGTACATAAGTACCATCTGAAACGCCGGAATCCGGAGCAATATATTCGCCGGCGTATGTTGGTCCAAAGAGACGATTGTAGACATGTCGAAACGTTGGCCCAGTGGAAGAGCCTTCGTCTTGGCCGATCTCGTCCGAACCCTTAATTCGGCGGACCAGATCTGTATTCTTATAAACAAAGGAGCTCAGCGAGAAGTCCAAAACTTCGATTAGCCGTAGACGCTGGTCTGGGCCATCGAATCGAAGCCTCAGCCCGTTATAAGGAAGGCTAAGAACGACCGGTTGCGTGATTGGCTCTGTAGCGGAATAGGACAAATCGAGCTTTGGATAGAGTTGGGGTGACGTCTTCAGCCTTGTAATTATACTGTAGATAGAAGATCCAAGAGCTGATACGATTAGCATCAACAACTTCAAGGAAGGATATACACGTACTTATCCAACTGATGCCCCTTTCTGGCTGGATCTGAAAAGCAGCCTTGGAGGCGGTTTCCGTCATGACGAAGGTAGCATGCCGGGACAGAAGAGGAAACAACGATAAGTTGCCCGCTGAGGGGAAGGTCTTCGTGATATTTGACCTGATGACCACATCAAACAAGAATAGAAGACAAGTCACAAGGGAGTCAGAACAAGTGCCACACGAGGTTAGGTCGGGCCGGCGCCTGAACCAATCAGAAGCTAGTATCACGAGGGCCTTATCACGTGCCAGCGTTTCCACTTTAGCGCCTTGGCATTGTTTACATTCCGTCCTGTTTCGTTTTGCTGGCCGAGGGAAGCATCGCTCCGCCAAACTCGTATCCTTGTTCTCTAACCCCGGTACCTTGTTATATGGCGAAGTAGACCCAGATGCAGTTCCCGCACCCTCAATAACACTCCATCTACTGTCACCCGGCACTATTGCGCCAACATGTCAGGATCACACCGTCCTGGATATTCTTCCAGCAGAACCTCAATGCGCCCTCCACCGAGACCGCATGGCGCCCACTATCCCTCGATAACCGGCCGAGCGCCATCCCCAGCAGAGTCACTGTCCTCAAGCGGTGCTTCTAACGCAGGCACTAAAAGAAAAGAGAGGGATTTTGATCAGGACCATGGCGAGGAGACAAACATCCATGTCGTGGTGCGGTGTCGGGGTCGAAGCGCGAGAGAAGTTCGAGAAAACAGTGGGGTGGTGGTATCAACAAGCGGAGTAAGAGGAAAGACTGTTGAATTGTCAATGGGACCCAACGCAATCAGCAACAAGACCTACTACTTCGACAAGGTGTTCTCTCCTGCGGCAGACCAGACGATCATTTTCGACGACGTCGTAGCGCCCATCTTAAACGAAATGCTGACGGGATTCAATTGCACAATATTTGCCTATGGGCAAACGGGAACGGGCAAGACATACACCATGTCGGGCGACATGACAGAAACGCTTGGACTGTTATCTGATGCGGCCGGCATTATTCCCCGAGTACTGTACTCATTGTTTCAGAAATTGGAAGCGGATGAGGTCGAGTGTTCAGTTAAATGCTCCTTCATCGAGCTCTACAACGAGGAATTGAGAGATTTACTGTCGCCGGACGACTCCGTCAAACTAAAAATCTTCGACGATGCAAGCAGGAAGAGCCACTCCGCTACAGTGGTCCAAGGCATGGAGGAATCGCACATCCAAAATGCCGCAGCTGGCATCAAGCTTCTGCGGGAGGGCAGCCACAGGCGTCAAGTCGCAGCCACCAAATGCAACGACCTCAGCTCTCGTAGCCACACAGTCTTCACCATTACCACATATGTGAAGAAACCCAATAACACAGGCGAAGATTATATCTGCTCCGGGAAACTTAACCTTGTTGATTTGGCTGGGAGCGAAAACATTCAAAGAAGTGGCGCAGAGAACAAAAGAGCCGCCGAAGCCGGACTCATCAACAAGAGCTTGTTGACACTTGGAAGAGTGATCAATGCCCTAGTGGACAAAAGTTCGCACATCCCTTACCGAGAATCAAAGTTGACAAGACTGCTACAAGACTCGCTAGGTGGAAGAACAAAGACATGTATCATAGCCACAGTTTCGCCAGCAAAGAGCAATCTCGAGGAGACGATTTCGACCCTGGATTATGCGTTCCGTGCGAAGAATATTCGAAACAAACCGCAGGTCAATTCGATGATATCCAAGAAAACTTTGCTGAAAGAGTTCACCACCGAGATTGAAAAACTCAAGAGCGAATTGATTGCCACGAGACAGCGTAACGGCGTCTACCTCACCAATGAGCAGTATGAGGAGATTACGGTCGAGAGTGAATCCAGGAGGATACTGAGCGAGGAACAAAAGGCTCGGATCGAAACGATGGAAGTCAGTTTGCGCAACAAAGTCCAAGAGCTCTTCAGCCTGACCAACAACTTCACAATGCTAAAACGGGACAATGAAGGGACTCGGGCGACCCTGGAGAGCACAAAAGATGTGCTTGAAAAGACCGAAGCTGTTCTTACAGACACAGCAAGGCTGCTCGAGGAGGAAACTGCTCTTCGCGAAGCACATGAATTGACGGAGGAGAAACTGCTCGGAATTGGGACAGAGCTGGTCTCGACTGTTGGTAACTCTCTTAAGGATATCGATGGTCTGCAAGCCAAACTCAGACGGCGCTCTCTCCTTCACTCTCAGAACCGCGAGGCGTGGAACTCTTCTCTAACTCGGGTCATTGACGTCTGTGGCCTGGTTGACGAACGCATCGGAAGCTTTCAAGCAGCACATGCAGAAGCCGCCGCCGCAAGCTCTCGTCGCATCGAGTCGTTTATAGCAGCCGAGATGGCGCACATGGAAACTTCTGCACAACTATCCAGGGAGAAGTCGTCCCAGCTGGCCGAAGACTGCGCTGGTGTCGAAAACCAGTCGTCACAGGCTAGAGATTCGATGAATAACGTTCTCGAGGAGATCAAAGATCTACGTGAGAATGTCAAGGACAACCTAAGCGAGGGTCTTCAAGGTCTTTCCCAGGCAGCTGCGAAGATATCTGCAGAAGTGATTTCGGAGCTTGAGCAATTCCATACTCAATTGCATTCGTCTTACAGCGGGTTGGGGAAAGATTTCAAAGCGATGTTCGAAGACCTTACCAGGCAACTGGCGGGCCAGCGAGAGGAAATCGAAGTCTTGTCATCGGCGCTCCAATCGGCCAGTCGCACAAGCATTGAGGCGTCGCTGTCAGCCTCGACCCAGCTCGAAGCCATCAGGGACGAGGAGAGAAGGGCTGCGGCGGAGGAGAAAGAGAAGCTCAAGGAGCAGATCATGAAGCTGGTTGACTCGTCACATCAACAGCAAGAACAGAGACTGTCCAGCAGACTGAATAATATTCAGTCACACCTCGTTGAGGCGACAGAACAGTTCGAAAGTGCCGACAAGTCGTATCGCGAGGGAATAGACAAGTGGACAGCTCAAGGCGACGAACTCATGGCACAGGTCGTTACGTCAAAGGACGAACTGAAGACTAAGATTAAGGGCGATTGGATGGTATGTACGGCACAACTTGGTCATGGGTATAGACTAACATCTCGCAGGCAGTCAGTACGCGGAATTTGGCCATCCAGAAATCCACCAAGTCCGTCCACGAGGAAACGGTCAAGATTGTCGACGCCCAACTTACGCAAATGTCGACTCAAATGGGGGCTCTAGATGAATTTGTGACGCGCGCTCGACTACAGAACGACAGTCATCATACCGAACGCTTGCAGTGCTTAAACAAGGCTATATCGCGTGCTCAGGATGGTCTCAGCGGTATTGAGAAGGAGTCGGAGCAGCGGCGTGAGATATTTGGAAACTTTACAGAGGAACAGGAGACACATCGAGGAGAGCTCGACAAACTCGTCGGATCATTGGAGGCAGAGACAAGGCATCCTCTCCAGAGCATAAAGGCAGAACTCTCAGAAGCAACTTTGATCGAGTACATTCCAACTGGAGAGACGCCGCAAAAGAGGGAGTGGAATTACCCGACATACCTGCCCCGAACCGAAAATCACGAAGCTATCATTGCTAGGCTGAGGGGCTTGCCTGACCCTACTCTGATTGTCAAGACGCCTTCATCAACAAAGACGCCCGGCCATTCGCCCAGGAAGCAAGCATCACCGCGCAAGGGGCCAGCATCGCCTTCGAAGCTGCCGAGTCCGAGCAAAACCAAGATCTTTACGGATGTTCAGAATCCCACAATCCAGGCATCTTCTACTACATCGCTATCTCAAACACAAGGCGCCGCCAGTGGGGATCCTCCCATTGAGCCGAAATGTGGGTTGAAGGAAGTCGACATCAACGTGATTAACAGTAATCGAGCGACAGCGTCATCGTCGACATCTATGACACTGTCCAACATTGACGAAAAGCCAGTGCTGCTTGACTTTAGCAAGAGCGTTGGCAGCGGAAGTCAACAGCCACCACTCAAGAGGCATGCGACGACCAACGCCGTTGTCGAGAGCAGACTGCCTACTGCGAAGCCGGGCAGAGTGACACGGAGTACAATGGCTGGGTTAACAGGGATAGGGATGGGTGGCGTGGAGAATTTGAGTCAGAGTATCGGACCAATGGGCGGAGGCAGGAGGCTGAGAAGCAGTCCCTCCGGCTAGACACCCGTGGCTGTGGCAATCTGTGTTGTCTTCTGGTTAATACGACGGATGGGAAGTTTTTGCACTGTGGCGGTGGTTACTTTGGGAGTTTTGGAGACATGTTTGGCGGATCCCGATGAATCGAATCACATTGCGTTCAAGTCGAGTACTGTTAAAGATACCCCCATCATTCGGCCGTTGTTTTTTGTTGCTGTTTTTGGGCGGGTTGATATCCGGGATGGATGATGATACGTTGGAATGGGTCTTTTCTCGTCGGGACCGTGAGGTCTGGATGAGCGTAGAAGGATATGAATATCAGATCCAATACCAGGAACACATTGCTGAGTCCAACTACAAGCCACGTCGTACGTACCTCGTTCTTGTTGTATCTGATCCCAGAGTCAATAGACCGACACCAAGCCACGCTTTCCACGTCGCGACCATCGAGTCTGTATGTAATGGCCGAGATTGGCCAGGCCCAGCAGAGGCTTATTGTCGAGTCGGGAGAGGTACGAGGTAGACCCTCACCTGTCAGTTCCTGTGTTGGTGTGCCGGTACTGGTATTTCATCCAGGGTGCAACGCAGGAAGAAAACCCCCCTGTTTTCCAAGAGAGTCTCTGTCCGTCGACTTTGCTGTGTCCAATTCCCGAGATGACGTACATAGTATATTTATTGAGGAGGCCGTGTCGCGGACAGGAGGGGAGGAGGCACCTGCGTTCAGATACCTCACACCTCCCTCCCTATCTCTTCCTCTCTTCCTCGCTGACCAGACATAGCCTAATATGATACAGACGCTACCAAGACAACCAAGTCTATACGATTCTCTAGGCTATTTTGGTTTCGTTTCCTCCTTGTTCTTGGGCTTCCCATTTTGGCTTTGTGTGCGCCTCCAAAAGTATTCTTCCTCTCTTGGTTCGATCGAGTAGATAGTGCACAGCCTGGGGGAATGCCTTGCGATTGCCATATCTCCTGCGGTTTTCCAAAAACTTGTCGCCCAGAATGGTGTTCATGTCGCGAACGACCGTGGCCATCGACATAGCATCCTCCTCATCAAGAAGATTATGTTTCAGGGACTTGAGCAGAGACTGGGTCATCCAATTTGCAGTTTTGACGTCCCAGCCGCAGGCCCCAATCAGCTCCTTGCGGTAATCATTGAATTTCTCCTCGCTTTCCTGGCTTTTCGCTGTATGGTCACCCTCCTCGACACCTTGCCACGCCTCACCCATGGTGGCAAGTCCCGCATTGCAGCAATCAAGAATGACCAGCGTGTCGTACTTTGCATCCAAAATCCTTTTCCTGAGGGTTGGTTTTTTCTGGTCGTCAGGTTTTTTCTGGTTCTTATAATGCCACTTCACCGTGGCAACGCGCTGATATCTTTGCCTGGAAGTTTATCAGTCACTTGGAAAGAGATTGTTTCCAATTCACCCACCACTCGTCGATTATCTTCTTCCTAGTTCGATTATTGCCGATGGTGCAGTTGGTGCAGCGGTTGTCAGATCCAGCGCACTTGATGCACTTGGTATCCTCAGCACTCTCCTTGTTGGCGTTGGCAAGGTGCTCCAGGATCGAACTCATAGTGCGTCCCAGGTCGTATATATCGTCCGGAATGTTATGGCTTGGGAGATTAGTTAGAATCAAGGATTGATAGGGCATACTCTGGGCTCTGACCTGACGAGTTCCAGTCCATCGTCAGACACTCCGCCATGTCCGTGATAGTAAATGATGAGAAGTATATCTTCCTCCTTCTCTGCCTTCTCCTCTGCCTTCTCCTCTGCCTTCTCCTCTGCCTTCTCCTCTGCCTTCTTCTTTGCCTTCTTCAAGAACTCGTCCACTTTCTCATATAAGGCATTCTCAGAGTTCTTCATAGGGATATCAAACGCCTCGACTTCATAGCCCAAAGTCTTAAACGCTTCCAGAAGAGTCGTGGTTTCATTGGTCAGATGTTCCCCCAGGTCGTGGTATTCGAAAGTGAGCAGCAAAGCCATGACATCAGCATATTTGTTCACTCTACGTTCCTCATCCTTGTTCCTCCTCTGAGTACGCGAGATATTTTTCTTCTCTGAACGTCGCTCTGGGAGGGGGTTTTGCGAACTCTGACCGCTCATGTTTCTGCACTTGTCAACCTTCCCGACGTATTTTAATTGCAAAACGCGAGGAAAGAACTCGAGCGATGACGTGTGAGGTATACGTACGCTGAGGTATGTATGTCGATTTGGAAATGAGCCGTGTATTCGTTGAAGGGTTTTGTCAGAGGAAGGAGTTGAGTGGACCGAGCACAGCGGGTCAAGAATATATAGACGACATATTCCGAGGCTCCGCGCGCAGAGCCTCAATATTCCAGCAGTTTGAGATCATTGGGCAGCAAGATCAATTGTCATTGGGGAGGGGTGGGAGGGGGGGGGAAGAAATGCATGTCGTGAGTCAGCAAAGCGAAGCTGCAGTTATATCAATCACATTTGTGCGATAAGAGGCGTCGACCAGGGGCATCACGAGCGAGCGCATGAGCGTACGTGCGACAAGTGAGGTGTGGTTCGTGACTGGGATCAGTGCAGCGGGGTCAGGCAGCTTCTTTGACACCTTCTTCAATGAGAGTGCAGAGAAAGGTGGTCTCGGGGGATGGAAGGGTTGACAAACCTGCTCAAAATGCGCCTTCCCCGTAAATGAAGCTCCTCTGCGAGGAAGGTTCCAACCCCAGAAAAACAAGGCGGAAGTCATGGCATCTTCTCCCCACCTTGGAGGAAGGAGCACATGGTAGGTCAACACTGCTGAGCCTCACGCCACTGGGATACAACGTACCCTGGACGAACAAAAGCCGCGCCCCCAGCACCAATGCAAAGCATTCATTCCGGAACGGAGAACCGTCCGCAAAGTGTCCTTTAGAGTATCGACACATGTTGCTTCGCAAGGGTGCGAGGTGAATGGACATTCTTACTGGAGAGTGCCCAAGGATAGAAACAGGTTTTGACGGAACAAAGGAAGGTCTTCAATAATAATCACTCCATCGACTTGCCAATAACAGCGGTTTTAGTAGCCGTTTGCACCAAGACCCCGGACCCCGACAGGCTCCCCCCCCCACGAGACCGGCCCTGCCATGGACCGTATCCAACTGATTACCCCGTACAGAACGCACCCGACAGAGATGTCCACATTGGACCGAGCCAATGGCACGACACCAGCACGCACTGTCGCTTGTAGCTACCGGGTGCTTGCGGTTACAAGGGGGATTTATGCACAAGCGTGAGGGCCCTTGAGGGGATGTGCCAGGTTTCTGACGCCTCGTCTGAGACAAGACAGATGCCTGGCCGAAAGGCAGGTATGTACTAGACGACCGGTGTTTGCTCGGGGAGTGCTTCCTACGCTCCCTCATGCTGAGGCGCTCTCCTCGTACTCGGCTAGACCTCCTCGACGCTGCTTCGTCACGCGGCACTAAATGAAGCGCGGTCGTGCTGCCTTTCCTGAACGAAAATGGTAAGGGAGAAAGTACAGTTCAGGGCATAATATTATATTCAAACCTCGCACCCCTCGTAGAGACATGAGTATAACAACTAGATTACGAACGAACGTCAAGATCGCGCGGCGAATGACGAGTATACATGTGGGGCACTAGTGATTTACTTCCCGTGTGTGTTATTGCCTATTTCGGTATGAACCGTCAGCCCGACCCGCACAATCTATATGTACATCTGAGGAAATCCCTCGCCCCTTCAGAGGTGTGCCGAGGACTCGTGAAACTGTTGTGGATCAAGATGCGTACACACGTATGTACGTAGGTAAGTAAGAATGAGCCAGTCGAGAAAAAACGAGCATCAAAGACCAAGGACTGAAGTACCGAGTATTTATTGAAGACTCGAGAGTCACGAGAAAGTCTCGAGGGAAGTATCGGCACGAACACTACGGAGTTAAAGTACAAAAAGTACAACATGGTGCAAGTGTACAAAGTGGTACAAATGTCAAGAGCCCACCAAGTGCGAAATGAAGCCACGAAACTCCATGGTCCAGTGGCGGGGCAAATTATGGAGGAGCATTTTCGACGACTAGCAGACCGACAGCCCGACCGACCGACCGACCGACCGACCGACAAATAGGACTAGACGTCTAAAGAGAACAGGGAGAGGAGGGCGGAGAGATTGTTTTGGTTGGAGACTGGCAGTCATGCTAGAAGTCTACGGGTGTACGAGTCCTCAGACTTGGTACGATGTACCTCGTAGTCTGGAGTGGATGAATCACGGGGTTTTCTTTCTCAAGGGAAAAATATAAAGATCACCTCCCCACAGTGTGTATGAGAAGGCCGCTGACTTTATCCTGGGAATCATTGTAACCAAATCAAATACGTCGCCGTCGCCGTCGCTATCGATGTCTCCGGCTCCGTTGCCACATCTCATTCCTCTCCGCCGGCTAAGGCAGCACCCACAGGTCCAGCGATGCCGCCCGCCTCGATTACCATCTTGATATCATCCAGACGTCGCTGGAACCGCTCAATCATCTCCTCCATGCTTTCTCTTTCCCTCTCCCTCTCGGCGTCTCTGTCTCTATCCCCAGGAGCCTTGTCTCTTTCCTTACCTCCCCCCAGATCGCCCGGTGTGTTTCCTCTCCCTTCAATCCTCAGCATCAGCCCTTCCCCATCTTCACTGGGCCCGTCCCCGATGGTCGGGGCGGCCGAGATACTAGTCCGCAAAACCTGCCATTCCGCGCTGAGACTGTGTGCGGACGTCACCTCGTAGCTGAAGAAAGGACCAACACCGACACCGTCACCCGAAGAACCAGTAGCTGCCGGAGTGGCATCGTCTTGGTTCTGGGTGCGGAGCTGCGGGTGCACGTCGAGGATTATATAGTGTTCACGCACGTCAGCCGCGGGCGGGGGCAGGCGAGGCACGTTGATGCTGTCATCCTGACGATGAAGGCTGTGGTCCCCGGGAGGCCCGTGGAGCGTGTGCGTCTGGTGAGCGTGTAAAGGTGGCCGTGTCTGTCGTCCCGATGTAGCAGCGCCTGATTCCTCCCGCTGCGTGGGATCCAAGATCTCCAGGCTCCTCAGCGCGGCCTCGGTGATGATGTCCGCGTCGTCGTCTGCAAAGATGTAGTGCACCGTGGGGTGGTAGTGTTCGTTGGTGACGCTGTCCTCGATCAGGGTGAAGAAGGGTTGGAAGGACGGGATCGGCAACTCCCCCGGGTGGGCGGACGCGGACGCCAGGCCATGGCTGTAGTAGTGTTCCGACTCGGCCACGGCGTGCTCAGAGTACTCGGGGTTGTGGAGGGTCAGGCTCGGTCGGTGTCTGAGTTTGGCCGGTTGATGAGATGCGACGATCGGGTCGTCTTCAAAAGGCGGCGAGGGTAGGAGGCTGCGAGTACTTGGAATTGTTGTCGTGGTAGTAGAGGGCGGCTGCTGTTGCGGTTGAGATGGAGGAGGAGGAAGAGGACTACCGCCGCCGCCACTTGGAGTCCGCCGTGACGTGGATTTCGACGGCGAGGATGAGTGTGCGGGAACTTGAGCTTGACGGGCCTGCTGGGACATGTCACAAGAAAAATGCCAGAAAGATCAAGCAATTGGCAGAGGCGGCTACATCGTGACAGATGGTGCCGCGGCGTGGATGGGCGGGATGAATGGGCGAAGCGCAGGCGGGTAAGGAAAGATGCTTTTTGCTGGGCAGGCAGGGCAGGCAAACGACGCGAGGCGGTTTGTTCGATCCATGCAAGGCAAACAATTAATGTGGAGACTTGTGTGGGGTGAAGGAGGAGCATGCGACAAAGGCAAGGCTACGAGGCTGTGGGCTCTCCAGTTCATCTACTGAGTAACCAAGTACAAGTATATACCTCGTATAACAAACATACTCCGTATAGTACGTGGTGATAAGACTTACACTCTCTGTACAATCTTCAGTGGCTCATCTCATGTGCCCGAATGTTATCCAGCCCTACAGCGACGAGTCTCGCGGGCTTCATTTTTCAAATGTCAATCGTTCTGATTCCAATTTCAATTGTCTCTGACCCACAGCCTCCTGGGAGCAAGCCATTGACAAGGCTGGCCGATATTGACACACAAATGTGATAAATAATGCAATGATCGCGCCATGGCAGCTTTGAAAACAAACTAGTCCTTTCCAACCAAAACCTGACGATCTCCCGACTTGATTCGGACGTCAACCATCGGCTACTCTGAAACTAGCAACAAAATTCTCAAGGCCACCCAGTGCACTCGTCGATCCATGCGGTTGTTGAACAAGGGATGAATGGGATATCTGCCCTCTTGGCCTTTTCCGATCTCTTCTCCATTGCCGGCTCCGGAGCAGACTCGACACTGCGCTTCTTGACAATGGGAGCAGCAGCAGCGGCGGCGGCGGCATCGTTTTCAGATCTCTTGACAACGGGTTCAGGAGCAGGCCATCCAGTGCAGTCGTCAAGCCACTCGGTGGTAGAGCAGAAGATCCTGGGAGCTCGCTTTTCCACATCCTTGTTGTCTCTCTTCTTCAGGTCTTCCTTGACAGCATTTGGCACGGGAGCCCCACCGTCAGGGTTGGTCAGGGCACCGCCGAAGCCCATGAGGGTGTTCCAGGTCTCGGCGGTGGATCGATCGCGAGTCCCCAAAGCTCGAATCTTGGCCTGAGAATCGCGGCAGAGAACCTTTGCAGCTTCATTCGCGCCACAGACGGTGGCGAGTTGGTCGCAGATTCGGTTGGTAATAATGTCTGGCAGCCTCGTTAGTTATGACACGGAACTCAAACCAGCGGCGGAACTTACTTGGGTTGGTTGCTTCTTGTTGACCACGGGCACACAGCGGGTCGCTGGGCAGGAAAGTAAAGTCCACCAACGACCGCCCACCGAGTCCACCCTCATATTTCATAGTCGGCAGGCAAAGGCCAAAGTCGGCATCCTCCTTCATGATAGATTCTTTGCCATAAGACATGACGGCAGCCGAGGCTGAACCGACAGCCACCAGCAAGGTCACGGCGGTAGATTTGACAAGCATTTTGATCTCCCGAGATGATGCTGGAAACAGAGTAAAAGAGCGTGGGAATCAGTTGTGGTTTGAGAAAGGAAGGACTGTTAGAAAAGAGCCGACCAGCGGTAATGAGCGAGAAAATGGAAACAGAACGACGACGACGACGACGACGACGACGAAAAGAACGGTTGGAATGATGAAAAGGAAATCGACTTGGCAAAGGCAGGTCTTGGAAGTTTCTTATAACCAATTGACCAGGACGCGCGGATGGCAGAGCTGCCGACGGCATGTTTCGAACATGAGGCGGAGTGTGTCGTGGGTTGCGTTTCACGTGCGGCCAGGGGGTTTCGCCCAACCACTTTTGGACGAGGCCTCAAACGACCCCATCTCTGAACTGAAATCATGCTTGCTTTGGAGGGAAGGACCGTGGTCAACGGCCGTCAGAGCTCAATTAGTGACGGGGAGTAATAAGACTATCTGTTGCTCTGAGTGTGTAAATTAAGGTTGTACTGTACCTCTGGGTAACCTGCGCCCATTCGACACCGAGAAAACACAGGTGCACAGGAATTCGACAAACCATACACGGCGCATACATGACCAAGGGATATATCGTCAATCCCACACCTAAATCTCTCTTTCTTCATACGATATTTTAGTTGTAGCAGGGCATATCGCAAATGGTTGGAGGGTTCAGATGCGGACGGGTGTGGAGGAACCCTCAATTTGACCAGGACCATGTGGGCATGCCGGAGATGGACACCGGAGACAATGTCGAGCGTAGAGTGACGCAGCAGAGTGAGACTGGAATACCCAATTCCCAGAGTATCCTTGATGGTAATTGCCCTCAAATTGAGGCGATCAAGCATCTGAAGCACAATGGTGAAGCGGACAGTGTCGCAAGAGAGAAAAAAGGGGGCGCAGGCAGAAAAGGCTTAGTGTTTATGTCTCACGTGCGTTACTAGGCCAACCAATGTCATTGCTCTGTCAGTCACGTGCCAGCCTTGCACCTTACACGTGGCTGAACACTCGCCATATGTTCTTCTACTGAACCTCATCATCAACAAACGAGGCTGAGCCGCCCACGTAGAAAGCGGGTGATGCACCAACACATTGGATACAGACAGTGCCATGTATTCCCATTGTTTTGATTCCTTTGTTTCCAATCGCGTGTCTAGTTCACCATCTGTACACTTTGGCCTTCAATGCTTGTGTACGTGAACGCCGACATGAGCCTTGATCCAGTCCTTTTCGTTGTCCCAACATCTCCAAAAGCTAGCCAATTGCTGCTCGTGGAAGCCGGTATTCAAGACCTCAGACAGTATTGTCATGTCCCGCATGTTTCGACCCGCCTCAACAAACAGAAAGTGCAGGGCTTGGGGTAAGTCCGACTTCATACAGCCATCCTTCACCCCATCCGGGGCAATAGCAAGTCAAGGACTCGATTCACTTGACTTCATGCTCGTGGATTTCGTTTTGCTCCTTCTTCCCTTGTCCCTCACGGATCGACTCCGGGGCCACTGCAGCGTATGGATCCTCATCTGCCTCGCCATCCTCCGCATGATCTCCCACATCTTCAGCAGATCCAGCGTCAACGGCGTCACCCCGGTCAAGTTCCATGCCAGTCTTGGGCTTGTCCATGATCTCTGTCTCCGCTTCTGATTCACTGAACTCAACACTGTCCGCCGGAACCGTATCCTCATTCCCGTTGCCCTGGGCCGCGCCCACGCGACCGTCGCGAAACATCCCACCGAAAGGAGACCTCCTCCTTGCCACTTTCGGGCTCGGTTCTTGCACCTCGATTACGACGGGTCCAGTCTCCGTTTCCGCGTATTTGTCAATGAACGCGTCCTTCAGGACTTCGTAGAGGAAACTATACTGTAATTCGTTCATGACCATCATCATCCGCTGTTCGCGGAGCGTATTCACAGTTTCCGATATGAGATCGTCTTCGTCTTTTGGATCGGGTGTGCTGGCTTTAACAGGCCCACTCCGGCCCCATGTCCCTGCGCCGTTAGAATTCGTCGTCGGTGTATGCGTACCTGTCTGCGGAGGGGAAGACTCGACCAGTCGGCCTGCTTCGAGCTCTTGTAGAAGGAAGTCGAGTGCTATCCAAGTGCCTGTTCGGCCGACTCCGGCAGAGCAATGCACAATTCGTGGAGAGTCACCCGCAACTGCCCTCGACACTTTAGTCAGTTCCACCAGAGCTCTCCGGTCTTCGGCTTCGGGTTTGCCAAAATCTGGCCAGCCGTGGAACAGGTAATGATAAATTGTTTTGGTGTTGCCGTCGATCGTCAATCGAAGTTTGCGGACTTCGCAGCCAATCCTGGCATCGTAGTCCAGGGAAAGGAGGGTGACAGAACCACATGAACCTGGCTCCTGGGCCGTATCACCCTGTTCGTTATCTTGAGCAGCACTTCGTGGCTCACTACGAGTGTCTTCGGCATCTGTTCCAACACTATCAGTCTCAGCGCTTCTCGTACAGGAGTCCAGAAAAGGATCACCATCATCCGCGGCCTCTGTGTCTCCATCATCATCCCCCCCATGCTCGTGGGCAGGTAGGATTATCGTGGGGTTGTCCATGTCGCGAGGGAAATACTGGGCGCATTTCTCCTTGTTTCCTTCATAGAGCTGTGTGAGCATGATAATAACGCCCACATCGCCAGGAGTCTCTTGCATGACCATGTGCCAGAAGTGTGAATACTGTCCCTCCTTTGGGCCTTGTGTAGCGATGTAGTTGCTTTCGACTGGGGTTGTCGAGGAAACTGAGGGTTGCCCAGTCGATGCTGGAGTGGAAGTACCACTGCGAGACTTTTTGGCGAGGCGACTCCTGAGGGTGATGGGGGACGCGTTGACGTAGTCTGATCCTCCAATCGGTTTTTTCAATTTGACCCTCGACGATTCCCAGGGTTGGACATTACCGTAGCGATTGCGACTGAGGACAGCCCACGAGCGGTCGACGCGGAATGGAGACGTGTGGGGGTTCTGCGAAGCATGCTGGAGGCGGTATCTCTGCTTCCACTCCAAATCCTGGAACGCCGACGAGATCTCTATTGCACCGCCAATTAGATACTCGACCGAGTCTCTGTGAGAGTGTCAACGTCCACTGGTACTTACTGGCACGGGGTTTGTTTAGGTAGGCAGGTATCTTGACATTGACTTGCTTTGCTGAGTCATCAGGTTTGCCAACCGCACCGTTAGACTGTCCCTGGCCACGAGAAGTCGGTCGAGATACGGTCATTGCCGTTTCTTGGGATCGTTGCCTCTTGATAGACCCCTGTGGCGGAGTGCTTAGTGACAAGGATTGCGGCATGATGTCGGTGATCTCGGCAATGGTTGCTGCATCGGAGGAGTGAGCTGAGCCGGCCCGACTCACGGAGGTGGAGGGAACCGGAAGCGAAGAGGAGGTGGTAGGCCGGATGGTAAGGGTTGGGATAGGTTTGTTCTTCCTCCCAGAGGAGTGGATATGAAGTCTCTGCAAAATTGACGGGCGTTTGGGAGGGGTTTGGTTGGAAGATTCTCCAGAGGAAGGATCCTGAGGAGCGGCACCGGCTTTGTCGGCGAACAGCCTTGAGACGGTCGTCGTGATCGTGTGCCGCGATCTATGAGAGGAACACCAAGAGTTTGAGGGTCGCTGGACACAAAGGAAGGCCAGCGCTCAATGGCTGGGTGGACAAAGAATGGTTGGAAGATGCTTGGCGAGCGGGTGGTTGATTGCGGAATTGAGGTCGTGCAAGGCCGCGGTTGCCAGACCCTACAGTCGACGACGTGATCGTTCGATAGATCCCGGTGACACTCTGGTTCTTGGATGCCCAGAGGTATCAAAAGGAGCCGTGTTCGAGATGGACCTTCACTCTTTCGGAGATGGGGTGCGTCGTCGTCGATTTCAGGAAGCGCTGGAGGGGTCTCGACGTTGAGGAGTTGCCGAACTGCTGCGCTGGATGGCCAGATAATGGGCAGGCTGTTCTTTCAACGAGGGAGATGGTCGGTACCCTTGTTCCAATGGAGATGTTTTATGGATACTTTGATATGGATTTTATGCTTAAGCGACCATGGCATTGTTCCAATCAAGAGGAAATCCAGAGAGAGCAAACGACACCAGAGAGGCGGAATGGCTGACCTCATATTGCAGAAGGCAGAACGCCGGGGCGTCTAGCAGCACCTCAAGCTTTCGGTAAATCTACGTCAATTACCACCATTTTCTCCATCTTGCCTAGCCGTGAGCGTCCTTTCTGACTGTCAGGTTGTGGTATTGTCTCGTCATATTCCAGCACGAGGAATTTGTCTGGTGCCGGATGCGGAGTGACATCGACCACTTTCTATCATTTTTGCAGACTGCGCCGCAGGCAGCATCCGTGAAATAATCGCCCGACCCATCAATCAACCCAACACCAGCCCTACATACTGAGATTCCCTTGACGCCTCATCGTCGACGGACACTTCTCTATCGACACTGCGCCGAAGTTGCGCCCGGGCTGTGCCGACTCCTGCCTGCGTTTACCACAATGGCTTGGTGGTGGCTTCTCGAGGTCTGATTGTTTCGCAGCTTACTTTCGTCAGAAGACAGATCTACTGACCTCTATACAGAAGCGATTAGTAGAAATGGTAGACGATTTCCGTCACAGACCCAGGCCCATGCCTCTCCCATCCTCCCAACTTAAATTCTCTAACCTAGACAACACGATCCGCTAGCTCCTTCGAAGTCCCTCCTTTCACCGCGGTGTCCAGCGCGTCCACAAGAAAGTCCACGAGCTACAGCATGGCAAACCGCCGGAACACTATGGCGGCACGCACCTCGACAGTATGTGTTCGACAATCATTCCTTGTTCCCATTAACAGACCGTCGTGGTGTCCCCCAAGAAGAAAAGAACCAAGCTCATATGCGTGGTATGCGAAATAGGCGACCAAGCCACCGAGCGAGGCGTCGGTCACTTTCTCAAGCTATTCTGGGAGGAGCTGAAGACGGGTCACAAGCCTGGACCGCCAACGAAGAAATGAAGAGCGGGAGATGGCACTAAACAGTTATCGGGTTGTTATACACATGGACGCCCAATGAGTTGGGTGGATTTTGGAACGGTCTGAATTCGAGCGAAGGCGTTGAAGGCGCAGGTAGGCTTTACTATTGGAATTCATTTGCCATAATGTGCTTGAAGCACGGCTGGATAGGTTTGTGAGTTCCCTCCTCTGTAAATATGCGAGTCCGACACAAGATGTGTTCCAACATGCACTTGAATACACTCGCACTTTGATGAGGATTGCCTTAACATGGGCACAAGTCATTTTGACCAAGTCGGGTCTCAAAATGAAATACAAGCCGCGATACCCATAGATGCTCTCGCTCTATGGACTCACCAAGAAAGCTCTGCACCAAGGCTATAAGATCGGATAAAGATTGGGTTGGCTCAATTCGTCTCTGCATGGGGGCTCGACCCTCATTCCATCCGAAGAGCAGCTCTCATGCCAGCCAAGATTGTCTGTGTTGCTTCTCTCTCCAGGCTTCACGGACCAAACAACAAGGGATGGCGGACATGCAAACACCTAGAAAGTTGTTAAAATGAAATGAAACTGAGGAGTTGCAGGGTTTGGAGAGCGCCTGGAGAGCGCCTGGACGTGCCACAATAGAGTATTGTGTTCTGTGTGTCAGCGTCAACTCTCTGATCTAGTCATGTCTGAACGACGGAAGCGGCGTGAACATGTCAGTGCTCATCAACAGGTCCCCAAGGACATGCCTGGAAATGGGCGTGTTTCTTTCCTCGGTAGGGATGAGAGGAGATAGGAAGTCCAATGCTATTTCCAGGTTACTACCCAAGACTATTTACTTGTGGTAGAGATCTGCGGTCTTCGCAAATGAGGCTCGGATGACCATGGGCCTATCAAATCTGAGTTGTCGCCTCTTACTCGCCAGCCACGGGCTTGACAGAGATCCTGGGGCACAAATCAGCAGCAGGGAAACCCGATACAGCGGTGTGAGATTGTCGTCTGATTTCGAGAGTGTCGGACCACGATGCCATGTTACTGCTGTCATGCACGTCAAAGAATCCCCGGGAGGGCAGTCGGGAGACCGAAATGCCCGCAGCGGGACAGGGAGGCGGGACGGATTTGAAAACAGTTGGACCACGAAGGGTTCAGAGCCCGCAGCTAGCCACACAACAGCGGAAACGGAGTGCGATCGAGAGCCGCACAGCATACGTCCTCGTCTCCAAACCGCTGTCAGTCCTGTTGGCAACCTGCCGGGTCTGTCAATGCTCAGGCTCCAGCATCTCGCCCCAGCTCTTGTCGACAGCCACTGGGAACAAGCGGTGCTGAACAGAGTAAAGAGTTGGAAGATCTGCGAGGTTTTCCTGGGTCACTGTCTCGTATACTGGGTGTCGATTTACACAGGCGTACGCAGACGTTGCTCTCCGCTGCGCCATGCCTGCCCATCAGCAGACTTGGAGCACCCTGACACCGACAGCCACAGCCACAGAAAATGTGTTTGTCAACCTGTGGTTGGTGAACCATTCATTTATTAGCGTTGTGAAACCATGCCATGTCCAATCACCACCAGACCGTCGAACTGTCAACGGACGATCCATCCCGCCGATCTTGGTGGTGGATGTGACTGACAGGCAACCAGTCAGGTCGCTTGCAATATCCCAGTGTGATGTTGGGGATGCTTTGTTGTTTCGCAGACGTGCTCAATCGCACGGCTGTCAACAACACAGATGATCCAATCAAATATGGAATTCGGTGTGGGCTAGAGCCCGAAATCAACCTGAACACCGACCTGAAAAGGATCTGGTGCTTCCGAGCTGGAGTAATTGGACAACTTTGGAGGATCACCGTGAATGGGTCCGTCTTACTTGGGGCCAGATGCACTTGTTTAACCAGAGCCAGATCGAAGCGACCTTCTCCCAGGGCTGCCTGAGCCACCCTTGCGCGTAGAGGGACACACGTTGACTTGCTTGTACGAGTACTGTAACAAACCCAACAGCGCCAATGAAAATGGGCCTTTCCAAGCTCGTCACCTACTCCACTCTTTTGATGGTCATGATGCTCTCCGAGTACGAGGCAGAGTTGAGCGGGCACATCAGACACCCAGCGACTCTAGGTGCGCAGAGTGTGCGTCATGTTCGGTGCATTGAAAGAGTCCAGAACATGCTCCCCCTTGTGCGTGTTTGGCGTTTGAAAATCACCAGGTCTCGGGCGAGGAGCGGCAGATTCCGGAATATTTTAGCCATTGGCCATATTGTGATCTGGTTCTGCTGATGGGCCGTGGTCGACCCCTCGCTTGGACGGGGCGAGTCTCTGGGGGCCCAATTACTGAACAATGCCCGTGGTTGATATGCGCAGCTCCTGCGCAACCGTTGAGAATAGCTGCACATCACTGTGACTAACAAGTCATCACAGCCACTAGCCGCCCAATCAAAACTTGATCGTTGGAGCAAAGGAGTCGCTGTTCACATACCCAACATTGCTCCTTTCCCCTGGTTGAGAAGCAGTGCATCAGCAAGATCAGCTGTACAACCATCGGTTGCATGTCGCAACCGCGAAAAGGAGGAATGAAGGCGATTCTACTTGGTACACCCAATAGTGCAGGGTCTGGACAGGACGAGTAGTGGCTGGCGCTAAGACATGCAGGAGATCGTTGATCTGCGCAATAGGTGCTTCAGGTCAACCAGCTGCGAGGTGTTCGACAATCCCTCAACTTGAAGCCCGAGTGCTCACATTCTCACCGGTGGATTGGCAATGATTGTGTAAATGCCGAACTGGTTATTGTGTTCCTGACGGCGGAGCTCATAATCCCAAGCAGAGCCTGGGAAGTGGTGGGAGAGTGAATACCTTTGCCAAAATCTTTTGCAATCGGATCGCGATTACTCGATTACTGGTGGGACGGCTGGTGACGGGTTGGACTTTGTCTGCCACGTGTTAGTGGCGTCCTGCCAGTGGTAACAATGCAAGCGATATCCACCTTCATCATTGACATTTGTTTAGGACATTGCACAGCAGGGGCGTGCATTAAAGTGGACAGAATCAGTAAGAATGGGAGAAGGAGTCCCGAGAACACCACCAGATTGAGTTCTTGGTGGACTTTGAGCCGTGTCAAGTGGATATCTGGAGGCGTCCGACCGCCCTGGCAACCTGGATGGGTTTGCTGGATATGCAATAGTCAGGGAGCAATACGAGGACGCAATTGCGGCCGTCGTAGCATCTAGTTAGCTACACCTCCGACTGGCCCCTGGAGAGCGATGCACATCCGCCGGGGCCCGTGGTTTTTGATGAGACTCTGGGTGATAGGTGGGCATCGTGGATAATGTACCATACGAGCAGGAGTCCTTCCCCATAGCCAACCTCTGATTGGGCTTGATCCCAAAGTTCTATCCAGGAAAGCAGGGTCGCTGAGGGATATTCGGGAGACGTCAAAGCAGGCTACAGAGTCGAGGGAAAGCCATGATTTCGGAGTGTGGTACTCGCTCCACTCCACATCGACGCCATGTCATTTACCCAGCTGGTTGTTGAACTCAAAATGTCCTGTTCAGGGAATGGTCGCACTGCATCTGGGAGAAAAAACCACGGGCAGCATCACATGCTCGATCCGGGAGAGTGGACTCTTGAGCCGTAGATTCTTGACATCTTGCCAAAAAGATGCGCCTTTCCAGCTCCGCCGCAAACTTGGATGTTGGAGCCGTGATAGGTCGATGCCCGAAACTCTGGCAGGTCAAGCTTGATGCAAGCCAGCCACATGGTTTCGAAAGCGCCGCCCTGATTTGCCCCCCCGCAGGTCGGAGAAGGCATCGGCTCCCATTATTGTTCGAAGCTCACCGCTTTCTATCAGGAAAACCACGGCGGGAAGGGTGTCCCGAAAGGCTTCTGCTCCAAAGCAGCAGTTGACGCTGCAGATCGGTCTCTATGTACGTACTCGAACGACGAATAACAACATCCGAGTAAGGAGGCAGACCTCGCGAATGCCTAATAATAGGCAGCATTATTTTGGCGGAAAGAACTATGTAGATAACCGAGAGTGCGACGGGGGAACTGTGGTATCTTCCGTGGGCCGAATTGGAATCGGATGTAGTATGGTGAAAACTTAACTGCTTGTACGGAGACGCTTGTCTGTTCGCTTCTTGCTGGGTGGTGGACAGCATGGCAAGAAGGAAAAAAGAAAGTTCCATCGAAAGGTCGACTCCGGCGCTGCCACGAATCAATAGTGGCAAGCCGATACGATGATGATATACATTAATGACGCCTGGGGGGTAAGGGATCAGAAGGTTCTGATACGTCGACTTGGATCGATCTGAAAGGGATGACCGCAAAGTCTAACGCCCAAGAACCACCAGTGGGTGACCAGGGTTGTCCGATTTGATTCGATAAGCTCTCAGATTCCACGTGTACTTGTACATCCAAGATGGTGAACGTTGGCTCTGACTTGGCTTCGAATTGGCTCGGAGTCCATTTCCAACCGCTTGGCCAAACAACTTCCTGGCCTCACTGCTCTGTTTGTCAGGTGTCATTGTAGCCCAGACATCCCTAGCTTTTGATTCAAAGTCTTAATCGCGTAAAGGTCATAATTCATTGGTGATAGGAGGGTCGTAGAGAACACGTCAGTGCTGGAACTTTCGGCGGGTGTATTGGGTGCGACTGCATCTCACGGCCAAATCGAGAACGGGACTTCGCGAGCGGTATCGCTTCTGCTTTGTACCTCTTATCTCGCGGTGAGACCAAATGCTGGAGGCGCCGTTGGTCGGCGTTAAAGCAGAGCTCAAAAGAAATTGAATGGCTATGCTGACATTGAGCGTGAGAGTTGCTCACAAAACCATTTCGCTCTGGCGTCTCTGGCGCCTTCGCTTAGCTGGAGATCAGGGTGGGTGGAGTTGTTGTTGCTGCGAGTCTGAGGGAGCGCGAGGTTAGGGAGGGGGGAATCGAGCATCGAAGCGATGAACAAGGGCCTGGCGAGTAGTAGGCGAGACAATTTGGGAATGGTAGAAAGCGGCAAATTGGCGTCAGAGATCCAAATCCAA